TTTTCTCAATAGTTTTTATCCCAGAGCTATAATTGCAATTAATAATGAGCTTAAAGACCACCAGTAGTGAATAATTAGTTGGACTGTGTTACTTGGCCTGCAGTATAGATGTTTGTATTTTTAGTGGGGGACTTTTAGTGTGTGGGGAGTGTTTGGGGAATTTTATGTGTGTTCATCTGTCTGGTCTCTGGGTGTCTGTGAATTTCGTTGTATGTGTATATACTTACAATGACAACAAATTAGTATTAGTATTAGTATTAGTATTAGTTTTATTATTATAAAATGTACATAATATAAAATTAACTTTATTTATGTATTTATTCTACTTATATCCCGCCTGTCTGGTCTTGCGACCACTCTAGGCGGCTTACAGACACATAAAACAACAAATAAATATAAACAAAAAGAAATTATTACATTAAATAACCAGTTCTTCAAGATGGCAAAGAGAAAATAAAAAGCAAATAAAAAAAGAAATAGAGAAGAATCAGATATTAACTGGACGGAAGGCCTGCCTGAACATCCATGTTTTTAATTGATTTTTTAAAATACGCAGCGAAAGGGCTGCACAAATCTCCGGAGGGAGATTGTTCCAGAGGCGAGGCAAACTATAACAAAGTCGAACTATAACAAAGTAACTTCAATTTTTTATTAATTAAAAATTCATTTTAAAAGTTGCACTAGTTTTTTCCTATATCTTAAAACAATTTTTAAAAATTTACTTCTTTGGACATTTTCCTCCAATTTGTGGCCCTTTCACGGCCACAGAATCTGGAAAAATGGTCTTCAGACTCATTCATGTCACTTAGTCCTGGTTTAGAACTATGACATGCAGGCAAGAGGACATTATGAATGGAAATATAGAAGATTCTGCCATTAGATATGAGGAATTCAGTGATCACTGATTATTTGGCTAAATAACCAATTATTTAAACTTTCACATTGCCTGACAGCTGTCTCAGTGTTGGTCCAGGACAGCTTTGCCAACCTCCTGGTTGCTCTGATAAATTACCAGTGCTAACAGGAAGACACTTTCATGGACCTCTCAGAATTTTTTGATATCATTAACCAGTGTATCCTTGAGAGGCTGGATATGAGGTCATCTTTTATTGGGTGTCTGGGAACTGATGAGTGTGTTTGGAAGCAGTAGTTGATTGGCTGAAGGCCAGTACCTAAAGCTCAGTCTAGGAAACAGTACTGTAATATTGTTGCTTTCATATACAGTGGTGTAAGCGAGGCACCACTGTATTTAAAGTTTTAGACTTCTTCTAATGCATTAGTACTGCTCTAGCTTTAATTTTGTGTTTTAATTATGTGTAAGCCACTTTGGGTGTTTCTTAGGAGATGTGGTGGCACTGTGAGTTAAACCACAGAAGCCTCTGTGCTGTAAGGTCTGAAGATCTTCAGCTGTAAGATCGAATCCACGTGACGGAGTGAGCGCCCGTCACTTGTCCCAGCTCCCACCAACCTAGCGGTTCGAAAGCATGCAAATGCAAGTAGATAAATAGGGACCACCTCGGTGGGAAGGTAACAGCGTTCCGTGTCTAAGTTGCACTGGCCATGTGACCACAGAAGATTGTCTTCGGACAAACGCTGGCTCTGTGGCTTGGAAACGGGGATGAGCACCGCTCCCTAGAGTCGAACACGACTGGACAAAAATTGTCAAGGGGAACCTTTACCTTTTAGGAGAAAGGTGGGATAAAAATGCTTTAAATAAATTAATAATAAATACATTTGAGGAGGCTTCATTTGAATCAGGAGACAAGATTCTGTCTATTTTGTAAGCAATTGAACTGGTCAAAAGCTAGTGATAAGTCCATCACCATTAGTGGAGGCCAAGATGGAATTTTATAGCTAAACTTGATGCATCAGTTGCATCTCCACTTGAAAATAACACAGCCACATATATTTGTACCCTGATATATATCTAGTAGGTTGTACCGTTGTGACATGTCTTCCTTTAAAGCAGGCTTGTCCAACCTGCGGCCCAAGGGCCGCATGCGGCCCAGGTCAGCTCGCAATGCAGCCCAGTGCAATTTTTTATTTTTAAAGAAATTCCGAAGTTTCAAGTTACACTGCCGGCGCTTGTGGCCGGAATGTGGCCGGGGCATGTCACAACAGTAGAGGGGGAGAGAGGGAAGGAAGGAAGGAGTGGGAGGGGAGGGGACAGGGGGGCTGCATGACTACATTGTGCCGTCCCCGTCAATAGGTGGACCGCCTCCCGGCCCCATAAAGCTGCCGGAGTCGAAGCTGGCAGCCTCTGCTGTCTGAGATCGCAGCTGCTGGTAAGCGCGCTTGGAGCGGGGCTGCGGAGGATGGCTAGGGCTGCCCCCCCATGCAGCCCAAACCAAATGTATGTGTGGCCCAAACCAAATTTTCATCTTCTAATGTGGCCCAGGGAAGGTGAAAGGTTGGACACCCCTGCTTTAAAGGCTCTTAAACTTCAGTTGATCAATTAGCAATTGATATTAGCAATGGGAATCTTATTTTAGCAATATTTATTTGCCTTCACTGTTTGTTGGTCTCTTTCTAAATACTTTTAAGTTGATAGGAACTTAATTGCTCAGAGGATCATCTTGTAATAAATCAGTCCTATGAATTACATCTGATCCTTTGCTCTCTTATTCGTTACATAATAAGCATTATTATGTTGATTTTGGTAAGGGTGCCCAGTTGGAATTCCATTCATAGAGAAGCTCACCTGGTAAATATGTGGACATCTCTCTAGTTCTGGGCAAATATTCATTTCCCTAGAACATGTCTTGCTGTTCTGTGGGAGTTGAGTGAGAGTTGAAAGCAAGCAACAGTAAACTCCACATTTGATGGGTATGGGCTCAGCAAGCAGAATGCTAGTTGCTGAGCATCAAAGTGAAAAAACCTTAGGTGCGAGTTCTGATCCGTTGGCATTTGGTTCAGACTAACTCCATGGTAGTAATGGGGGTGCATATCTGTATTCTAAATATTTTGCAAGTATATATCTGCAATAACAAAATACTCCGTTTGGATATGGAATGTGCTGAGATATTAAACTTAGCAGTTGATTTCAATACTTTCCTGATGTTCATATTGGATAGTTCATCTCACTGAGTTTCATAAAATCTGTACCACCAGCAGGACTGCTTTGTACACTTGCTATGCAGGAAATAATGTGAACTGTTATATTAGTAGTGCATATGTATGGGAATAATGTATGAGCTGGCTTTTAGACAGCATTATAATATTTTTTAGCCGCACCATTGCCAGTAGTAGTGCATATGTATGAGAATAATGAATCAGCTGGCTTTTAGACAACTGAAAAATTTATTTATTCAGCATTCATGGTGTTTATGCCTTAATAGAGAGTGGCGTCGTGGAGAAGCACAGGATGATGAAAAACCTATTCAAAAAGATGATTCGAATACACGGGCTACATCAGAAGACAGAGATCAGTCTCCTGATGAAGCACCAGATGACAAAGCCTTGAAGCATGATCTTGATGAAGATAAAGGTCCTAGAAAAATCCTAGATGATGATAGAACAAGTTGGCGCTCACCAGGTGATGACAGGGGCCCCAGGCGTGGCCTAGATGAAGATAGAGGCCCCAAGCGCAGCCTGGAAGATAGCAGAGGCCCCAGGCGCGGCCTGGACGACGACAGGGGGCCCAGACGTGGCCTGGACGACGACAGGGGGCCCAGGCGAGGCCTGGATGACGACCGGGGACT